TTGGGGGAAAAACAGAATTCCACAAGATTATCAATTTTCTCAAGCTATTTGTAACAAAGTAACTTTTTAGCAATATATTCTTTTTTTAATGGGAGACTATGATCAAACTTGCTTATTCTACAAAAGAACTAACGTCAAATCTTTGATCATTAGTTGAAGTGTTTCCATAAAAGAAGATACTTTTATCAGCAACACTATTCATTTATCTGTCCTACTATTTCACTGTGGACGGAGGTATTCTTTTTAAAAGTCTTTTTACATCGTATTTCTGTCTTCTCAGGTATCCTCCTAGGTTTCCTTATCTTGGTGGTTATCTCAAGGAACTTCTAGGTGCACAAACCTTGTGGCTGTCTCTTGCACACAATTAGAATAAGTATTTAGACCAGGAGGACATAAAGAAATGCTGTCATGATGCACATACACTAAAACACACTGGCCACATTTTTCCCTTTGCCATACTCAAGGATGGAAATGAAACTATTTTTTCTAAGACCAAGAGTTGAAAGGAGTGAAAAGCTGGCGCTTTATAATCCCAGCTACTCACAAGGCTGAGGCAGGAGAATCACTTAAACCAGGGAGTCGGAGGTTGCAGTGAGCCAAGATCACGCCACTGCACTCCAGCCTGTAGACAGAGCGAGACTCCATCACAAAAAAAAAAAAGAAAGAAAAACAAAACAAAACAAAAAAACCTGTCAAAGTCAGGTTGGCAGAAAGACCTTAAGTTATCCATCTGCCAATAGGAATATATTTTGCACATCAGCCCTTGAAGAAACATGTTTTCTCATTTTTCTAGAAATACTCTTGGGTTACCTTTACTTCCCCATGGTTGAGAATATGGATACAAAGAAATACTTTGCTCTTGTAGCACAAGCACCAATACAACTGTTAGGATAATGGTAACTGACAACCTGTCTTGGAATTGGCAAGTAATGAGGAATGGTGTGGACTGCAATGAACGCAGTGCTCTTAATCTCTCCATTAAGAAATCAGTTATAACACAGCTCAGCTAATTATTATTATTTTGAGACAGAGTATGGCTCTGTCGCCCAGATTGGTGCGATCTCAGTTCACTACAACCTCCGCCTCCTAAGTTCAAGCAATTCTCCTGCCTCAACCTCCTGAGTAACTTGGATTACAGGCATGCGCCACCATGCCCAGCTAATTTTTGTATTTTTAGTAGAGACGGGGTTTCGTCATGTTGGCCAGGCTGGTCTTGAACTCCTGAGTGTCCTTCTCCTCCAGAGTGTCTGTGAGCCACCAGTTTGATACGAATTATTACATGATTCATGCTATTCTCATTCTACTTAGATGGTCCCCTGTCTTCTTCTATAATTGGGTGATGTAGAATGGTCTCATGGAAGCACAAAGTTCACCACCTTTTCCAAAGAAATAATTTTGCTGAGCCATGTGATATCTGTATGCTTAACTTCACCTGCTAGTGCCAAATTCTTTTATCTAAACCCTCCCGTAGTCTTCAATTCCACCCAATCTAGTCTTATTTGGACATTTTTCTCTAATGGAATTGATTGCTAAAACTGTGTTTCTAGACTATTACCTCTCACTACTAAAAGCAGAGAACTTACCAAGACACCTGTCCAGAGCAGTGGGGAGAAAGTCAGAAGAGAAATGCAGGTGAAGATAAGTTTAACGCCTGTAACAATTTCTAGAGAGTCTTGCTTTTGTTTGTATTAATAACATCCCTTGGCATCTCCAAACTGGAGATTTCCTTAGAAAGTTAATCATAAGTTGATTATATTGGGGGCTGTTCAGCTGACGGTTAGTTAGAGGGGTTATGGGAATAATAAGTCATAAGGAAACAAAATCAAAAAGATATTTGAAAGAAAAAGTTATTTAGAAGCTTTGAATCATTTAACGGTTAACCACAGTTAATTATTTCCTTTTTCAGATATTGAATTCTTTACCATTGGCTCGGTCATCTCTGCCTGTAAAAATGAGATCATCCTCTCTCCCACTGCAGCACTCCTGTCCTCAACTATAAAAACTGCCTCGGACTCAACTGTGATCCCTCCTCTGCTGTCAGCTCTGTCACTTCTTGACACCTTGCAATTTGGCTTCCGGTGAAAATGTTTCTCAGATGTCAGCAGTGATTCCGCATTGCCAAATTCAATGGCATTTTGTCAGAACTCATTTTCTTTACGTGCTCTAAAGAAGCCCACATTTCTGATCACCCCTTGCTTTTGCACATCAATGTATAATATATTTACTGATTAAATACTCATTTTACAACACTCCTAAATGCTGGAAGACAGACACACATTTAAAATCCATATTTTGTTCTTTGGACGAAATGTCATACAAAGAATAACACTGGGTGCCAAAATCTGGCAAAACTTTAATAAATGTGTAAATTACTTAATCTAAAACTTATGATCTCACATTATCCAGTACCAAACTAAATTTCCAGGCCCACTATCTACATATCATTGAACTTATGTCCAGTGCTCTGCAAGTCATCTATTTTCACGCTATTCTCTTCTATCTTTATCCCCCACGCTACCTAGAATTACACCTAACCCTTGCTGCCCAGCTCTCACGGCCTCTCTTGTGGGACTGGGTATCTGGTTGTTTCAGGCTGAGATGATCACCACCTTCTCAGAATCACAGGATTTTATGTGACAGTCATCAGATAGTGCTTTACGCTGCAGTTTTCTATAATCTCTACTGTCTGATTGACTGAGTATAAGCCCTTAAAGTTAGGGAGTAGGTACCACTCTATTTTTGAGAGAAATAGAAGCGTGCAGTGATGGCTGTCCACATCTTTATACCTCCCTGTACCCAAGCTCTCAGGGGGTCTCCTTCCATAGTAACCCTGGCTTGGCCATGAGACTTGTTTCATCCAATGAGATGTTAGCAGATCTGATGCAAGAAGAGGCTTCCTGAGCATTTACATCCTGGAGACTGTTTTCTTTTGCTGTTCTCTGGAACTCTGAGACCACTGCATGGGCTAGTTTTGTGAAAGGTGAAAGACTCCATCAAACACAAACAAGTTCCCCCACCTGAGCACCCCCCAAACCAACCAGACCCCAGCCAAGACCCCAGACTGAACAGATCCACCAAGTTGACCCAGGCCAGAAGAACCACATTGCTGACCACAGTATCAAGAGAATAAATGCTTGCTGTTTTAAGCCATTACAGTTTCTGGTGATGTAGAGGGAGGTGTTAATGGATGTACCGGGTATCTGGCACACTGTATTATTCTGAAATGAGTAAAGAATGCAATTTTAATAAAATCTCTCTCATCATTCAATTCTTACTTAGTAGATTTTCTCTAGCCTAGAAATTGAAATACTCCATATATCTGGAAAGGGTTTTCTAGTTTGTTTTGTAAAATGAAAAATCAAAAGGCAGCCATTGTAAAAGATACAGTACAAATATTCTGTCTCTCTAGATGGGGATGTGACTTCAGGATGCTCCATTTACCATCTTTGAGTCCTCAGGTAAATACTGTAAACTTTCTTGACCTTTGTTTCTTTTTCTTAAAATAAATACAATACCACTAACCTTACAGTATTAGAGATAATACACAGTAAATACCAAATATAGTCTCTGGTGCATTTCTTCAATAACCAGGAGATATTATCATCATACATAATAATTAATCTTAAAATAAGACAGCTGAAGCAGCTGATCCCTACATGTGTTTCTGGCTGGGCATGGTGGCTCATGCCTATCATCTCAGCACTTTGGGAGACCGAGGCAGGTGGATTGCTAGAGCTCAGGAGTTTGAGAGCAGCCTGGGCAACATGGTGAAACCCCACCTCTACCAAAAATACAAAAAAATTAGCTGGCCATGGTGGTGCAGGCCTGTAGTCCCAGCTACTTGGGAGGCTGAGGTGGGAGGATGGTTTGAGCCTGGGAGGCGGAGGTTGCAGAGCCGAGATCATGCCACTGCACTCCATACTGGGTGACAGAGCCAGACCCTGTCTCAAAAAATAATAATAATAAAATAAAAGTGTGTCTCTACACGATTTGTTCCCTCTCACTACTAAAAGCAGAGAGTTCGTCATGATGCCTGGATGTGGCAAGAGTGGGAAAGTCTGAAGGTAAAACATTAGGGAAGATCATTTTAATGCTTTGAGCAATTTCTAAACATTTTTGTGTATAACAACCCTTGGCATCTGAAAACTAGAAATTTTTCCTGCCCATACAGATTAGAAAGTTGGTCATAGGGCTTAATTATATTTGGAGCTGTTCAGTCAATGTTTACTTAGGAAGGGCCTGTGGGAATAAGAAATCATAAGAAAACATACGCAAAAAGTGGCTGGGCATGGTGGCTCACACCTGTAATCCCAGCATTTTGGGAGGCCAAGGCGGGCAGATAGCTTGAGGTCAAGAGTTTGAGACCAGCCTGGCCAACATTGCAAAACCCTGTCTCTACTAAAAATACAAAAATGAGCCAGGCATGGTGGTGGGTGCCTGTAATCCCAGCTACTCAGGAGGCTGAGACAAGAGAATCACTTGAACCCAGGAGGCAAAGGTTGCAGTGAATCGAGACTGTGCCACTGCACTCAAACCTGGGTGACAGAGTGAGACTCCATCTCAAAAACAACAACAACAACAACAAAGCAGAAAGTTGTTGGGAAGAAAAAGGTTGTTTAGAAGTGTTGATTAATTCACAATGAACTAGGTAATTAGAAAAGTCCAGATGCCATTAATTGTGTAAAATTTCTTAGTGCCAATCGGATGCTTTTTCATTCTCTATCAAAAATTATCTAATTATATTATCTTACATCAAAAATATAAATTAGATTAATATAAAGATAGGGCATCTGGAACATTTCTGGAATATAATAACCAAAGCACACTAGGAAACCCTTTGTGTCCAGCCCATTGAGCCTGGGTAACGTGAAGGTGTGTGCCACCCCCACCGAATCTCAGAGCATGCGCGTGCAAATGCGCTCATTTCAGATAAAATGAGGTCATGACTTCGAGGAAAGCAACAGAAAGAAAGAGATCCTCCTCCGTGGCCAAGTGCTCACCTATATAGGTTCCACTGTTGTTACCAGCATAGTCAGCATCTTCTGGATGGAGTGTAAAAGCATACAGAACAAAAGCCAAGAAATAAAGCAGAACAGTTAGAAGGCCAGCCGCAGATGCAAAAAAAAAACCACTTAAAACAATTAGGTAAAGCACAGCATAGAACAGCCCTTGCAATGCCACTCTTAAACATAAAACAGTTTGTTTTATATTTAAGTTTAAAGTGACATTTTAAAATATCATGCAGGGTTTTGTGTGTTTTTTTTTAAATTCCCCCAACTTTCTTTGGTGGTTTCTTGATCCAGGTACAAGAAAATTACACGAGACTTGTCTGAGAGGTTTATATTTTCTTTCTTTCTTTTTCAATTTTTTTTTTTTTCGTGATGGTGGGAGACAGGGTTTTTCTCTTTTGCCCAGGCTGGAGTGCAATGGTACAATCTCAGCTCACTGCAACCTCCACCTCCTGAATTCAAGCGATTCTCCTGCCTCAGCCTCCTGAGTAGCTGGGATTACAGGCATGCGCCATCACGCCCAGCTAATTTTTGTACTTTTAGTAGAGACAAGGTTTTGCCATGTTGGTCAGGCTGGTCTCGAACTCCTGACTTCAGGTGATCCGCCCACCTTGGCCTTCCAAAGTGCTGGGATTACAGGCGTGAGCCACCGTGCCTGACCTATATTTTTAAAGTTAAGAAAACTATGCCAACGGATCCCCCAAAGTATATTTATTTTTGTAAATCAGGTTCTTAGATAATAGGTAAAAATACAGCACTAATTTTGGCTCATTGAATTAGACAGAAAGATTAAGATGAAAATACATCCTTTCTATTGACAAGAAGAGATTTCGTGTTGGGAAGTAACGGGAGAATGATATTGCTATTTTTTTAAAGAACTGATAAAAACATTTGTAAAGTAAGCAATGCGCTAGTATTTTGAAGTCACATGAATACTAGGCTATACGTATCTTAAAAACTTTATTTAAGTAGTGGGGTACTTATTATTTTAGGCCTCTTTCTTGTGGAACTAGCAGCATAGACTGCACAGAAATCAAATAATTGAGAAGGTGTCCCTAGATCCTACACCAAAATAAGTCTGTCAATACATTTGAATAATACTGCTTATTTCATTCACATTTAAGACTGCTGACAGAATAAAAATATAATGTATTATTTCAGATTACATTCTATGTTTCTGCTGCATAAAGCAAAAAAAAATGTATATTTCTTTCTAACACAAAGTCCAACTACAATTTTTGGTATTGTAACTTCACGATGGACGTTTGGATGTACAACAGAGTACATTTATAAGTTGCTTGTTATATTCAATTTAATCCTACATATATGTGCACTAAATAAAATTACTAGACTATGCAGGGTAACTTACACATGTACCTTTAATTTCCTCTGAGAAGCACAAAGAAAATAAGAAAGGAAATGATTAAATGTGCAGAAAATACAATTAGAATAGGAAGATGTTGCACCCAAAGAAAAAAAAAATCCACCTACCACACTCAATTGTTTCCTCATCTTAGAAAAGCCAAAGGAGAAAACAAACGTATTTTAAATGTTTCAAAATTATCAGTCAACGAATACATAGAATTTATGCAAAACTACATTTTAGGCTGCACTACAGGCTTGTTTTAAAAAGAATACATACACTTAAGTTGTCAAAACATAGTCCTTACATAGCTTATTAAATAATCAAATGGGAAATATAATCAGAACAAAAATCTTCAGCATTTTTTTCAAAATAATGTCTTCGTTAAGGGGATTATATTTATTTTCATAGAACAGTTTTGTTGGTAAATCAATCTGTTCAATGCTTAAAAGAAATGTCTTGATAAAAATAGTGGAAAGAAGAAAGGATATTAGAAACAACAAATTTTGTCCTTAACATATCTAAATATCCTGTAAATTTCACAATAACCTGACAATTATCAATGTAATAATACACATATCAAATGAGTTATGCAGAATCATTTATTTTTATTCTGTCTATATTATCTGATGAAAGGTATTTTAGAAAGTAATCCTAAATTACTAATAGGATAGCAATTTAAAAGTTAAATATGACTTCAGAGACTCGCTTTCAGTTAAGGGTGAAAAAAGTACTGGCAATATTACAGAGGGAAATCTAACTATGAGTTAAGGTAAAACGCATTTCACTACATGATTCCAGAGCAAATAGGAGTGATCAGAACAGTTCTCCCCTCGTCCATCCAAGCTACAGAATAGTGGCCAAAGAAAACACTTCCAGGAAAATGCATACCACTGTATTTTTATTTTTTAAAATACTTATGGATCCTTCAACTATGTTGGCTTAGTTTGATCAGTATTAGCAAATATCACAATCATTATTATTATTCAGGCTCGTGCTTTGAATCACCCAAGTTGTGATTTTATTTATGCATAGGTCTTAGTAACTCTGACCTGTCATGTGCATCTAAAACAAATTGTTAGAAAACAAGAAGTAAACTATATGATGTGGCTTAGGCAAACAGCTAGGCATGACGGACATCAGATGGGTCACTTTAAAATCTCAGGTACTCCATTATAAAGTGGGTTGTTAAACATAGAGTCTATTTTTTATAAGGCCAATGGGATAGACTAAATACTACACCCTTAATTAAAGACTTAGCGCCATAGAAATCAAATGATAAAAGCCATACCACAAAAACCAACAAAAAATTAAAACACTAATGCCAATCCACAAAAAAAATCTGTAATTTATATCACATATAGTATATATTTCACATTCTAATAAAATGTCATGAATATGCTGTATAAATTTGCAAGAGAATGTTTCTCCATAAAATTTTTAAGTAGAGAGAGAAGGATATTTTTATATTACTGATATAACCCCACACATATATTCGGTAGCAAGTATTATGCTTAATGAACATCCAGTAAGAAAATGAAAGGGACAGAATTTCTTAGACTTAGCAAGTTTGAACAAAGGGGAAAAAATAAACAAAATGTTGATCTCAGAAGAGAGTTGGGATAGTCACATGATTATTACTATGTGGAAGGCACTGTTCTGTGTACACTACAATACACAAACTTATTTAATTCTCCAACAATCTATAAGGCCAGTACTATAATTCCCTTTTTTTTTCAGATAAGAAAGAACCCTATAGTGAATTCTCATAATTTTATGTTGCTTTGGCATCCATTGTGAATCTTTCTCATATCAGAAACAGGGCCTAGTTGCCCTTGACATAGCTGCAAGCCCTCTGCCTCCTCTGACTTCCTCAAGGCAGCCCATCCAGAAATCGGCCTTATACAACTGCCTGCTGGTGACCATCTCACTAGGGGACATACAGATACAGCATATGTGACTCACTCCATGACCCCTACAACCCACGTGGACCGTGCAATTATGGTGCAGGGACCAGCTCTCAGTCACAGCGTAACTCCACGGAACTCATGCCTGCTTTCTTTAGACCCACTATTTAGAACTCCCAGAAGGAAAACTTGCTTGGATAATGCCCTGGACCACAGTGAAAGCTTTGGTCCCCCATCTCTCTTGCTCCTCACACACTGGTTGAGTCTGTGTCCCAGATAGCTCCCCTCTTCCTGTTGGCCCTGCGAGGCGTGCTGCCCTCCTCTCCGGGATCTGTGAGTAATACACTGCCTCTGCTATTCCATTCACCCCTGCTATTTCATGTTTCCTCCTCTGTGTCTCACCTGCCCGACACACCTGCATCTACAGTTTTTCCTGGTCAGGGCATTCCTAGAGAGTGGCTATCTTGGTAGGAATAAACTGGAAACAGGTCAGACAAGAGCCCCAAGAGTGTCTGTCAATATAATCAAGTTCCTGTGAGAGAGGACATCTGGTCACAGGTGGACACTTAGGCATTAGGCCTTCCACCAGGAGAAAGAAGTATCCCATGAAAGGCACACTGCAGACAGCCATGACCACCTCCCCTGCACCAGGGCAGGGCTAGAGTTTATAGCCACTCTCTAGAGAGAGTTCAAGAACTAATTAGAACCAAAAAAAAAAAGAAATACAACACACTTGTCCATGTTAAAACTGGGATTTGGACCCATGCCATTTGGCTCGAGTCTGAGTTTTTAATTCAATCCTATGCTAATCATGACAAAATCACATTTTGATTACTCAAGTCTCAGACTAGAAATGGGCAGGAGAGAGGTCCAGGGACATAGTGTTTCTTACAAGTTTCCTATCGACTTAGGATGATCTCCCACAGCCCCACCATCCCTCCCCAAAGCTTTGGTATTCCAAGGGAGAGTCTCCTGCCAGGAGTGGCCAGGGAGGGCCAGCTCCTCTCCCCAGTGTTATCAAGAGTCCACCGTCTGCTATCTTCAAGCACATTAGAGCAGGAGAGGAAAGTTAGGAAAGTCACAATGGGAAGGCCAAGAGGGATGAGCACAGTGGCTCATGCCTATAATCCCAGCACTTTGGGAGGCCACGGAAGGAGGATCACTCGAGGCCAGGAGTTGGAGATAGCCTAAACCACATAGTGAGATCTCATCTCTACAAAAAATTTTAAAAATTAGCTGGGCGTGGTGGCACACGCCTATAGTCCCAGCTACTCAGGAGGCTGAGACAAGAGGATCACTTGAGCTCAGGATTTCAAAGCTGCAGTCAGCTATGACTGCACTCAAGCCTGGGTGACAGAGTGAGAGCCTGTCTCAAAAAACGAAAAACTTTTTTTTTTTTTTTTTTTTTAAAGAGAAAGATAAATGTGCTGTCATCAGAGAATGGACTAGAAAGGTTCTTGTGAAAAGTACGTGGTGAGTTCTGCATACTGGTCAGTAGTAAACATCCCATTCTGCTGGATGTCACTCTGCAAGGGACATGTGTGACACTCCTGAAAAATGGAGAAACTGTGTCTATATTAGTGTGCTATTATTCACATGGGCAAAGTTAAATCCCCATACTAGAAACCACTTACCCAAATTCCCCACCCCCTACCACAATCCCTTCTAAAAGTCTGCAATAACACGCAACCACAGATCAGACCCCTAAGAGTTAACCAACGCTTTCTAACCTGCGTGGCATTGGGTCCCTAGAAAACAATACAAGCGACAATACAGCTGAGAACCCTTGCAATGGAAAGACTAGAAGCATCTACCCTGATAGTGTTTGAGAAGCAACATCTTCAGGAATCCCAGGAGAACACAGTTCACTGAGACTGAGCGTGAGCAGTAACAAGTTAGAAGGTTCTTCACCTCAACCATCTTGTGATTTAAGTGATCAGATATGAAATTTACAACTTAGTTCATCTACACTTCTTTCCACCCAAACTCTGAACTCTGGAATCTTCCAAATAGTATTAGTATTAGGGAAAAAAATACGTTAGGTATTTTTTAAAACCCCATGTGTTTCTGTTTATACAAGACCTCACCAATATTAAGAAAATGTTTGACAATGTTTTAGACATACAAACTTCATATAACAACATAAGCAATGCTATTTGTTTCTGAATTAACTTTATGTATTAAAACAACAAATAAAATTACTTAAGAATCCAAGAAGCAGTAGCTTACTCAACTTGAAAAGCTTCATTACAATGACTTGTAGCGTCCTGTGATATATTATTCTTAAGTGTTAGACCTTCCAAAATATTGGTACTGTGTGCAGTGAATTCGTTATTTTACTCAATGTTTAAATTCTTTTTTGCCTGTTGTGATTATCAACTGACAAATGCTTGTCTTTGAATGAACTAAGTTACACCTTTCTTACATGGATACCCTTTGGCTTCAGTTAAATATTTTCTTTTTACCTGCATAATAACAATCATGACGGGTTAAAACAAATTCTACAATAAAATATTTTGTGTTTTGCTTTCTAATCTTTAAATGGTTGAAAAAATGTACATTCTTGTTTCTTTGACTGCAAGAATTTTTTAAAAGTTATTGTGTAAAACAAAAATTTTGAATTCAGGTTATTCAGTCAGCAATATTAGAAACTTTTAGGTTCTTACACTTTGATAACTAAAAAAAGGAAACAACACTATAATAAATCATACTTGAATATTCTGTTGTAAAATATATTACCTGGATAACAGCTTTTTCTTACTGCTTTCTGAAGACCATATATACTGGACTTAAATATTTAATATAAATCACATCCTACTGAAGTTAAATTAATTTTATATCATTAGGAAGACAATTCTTAACTCATATTTAGATTTCAAGAGAAAAGCAACAAACAATACCACAAATAAATTCATATTTCTTTCTTAAAGGTAAGGTAGTACATGCAACCAAACTATAAAAATAAGTTTCAGGCAGAAAATTAGAGTACTTTAAATTATATTGACACAAGAAATGCAAGCTGCCAACTTTCTGTGATGCAAAAGTACTCCTATATGCTATCTGGGACATAAGATTCACTTTTACTCATTTCCAGAACACTTAAGCTGTATCTTTTATGTAATAGTCTAAAAGCTGGTCATCTAAAAGAAAACCTATCAGATTTTGAGGCTTGCTTTTCTGTCTGTATTACTAATATAAATCCATTATGTGGGAACCTATCATTAGATGATGGACAGGGAGGGAAACAAATTTCCATTACAAATATCTTTGTTCGGTAAGAATTCTTCCAAAAAATAGGGGGAGGAGACAAGTCCTTATATCCAGCTACTAAGACTTAGAAGAAATATTTTAGGTTTCAGAGTTCATGTTTTTGTCTTCAGGAATTTTTTATTTTAAGAGGTAATTTTTTTTTTGTTTGTTTGAAAAGCCTTTTTTTCCCTTCTGGGTTTGTATTAGATACACAAAGATTCTTAAGGGGAGGAAATAATCAAGCAGCAAAGATGAATATGACTTACACTTATGAATTTTGCACAAGGAGGCTAGTTTTAAAGCCTAAAGAGGTTGTTATTATCATGGCTCCTGATTTCACTTACCTTAGAGCCAAGAACTAGAGCTCTAGCACAAATATAAATGCAAAGATAATAAGATTGGGATGTGCCCTTCCTTATATACTTCTATATTGATATTAACAGAAACCCTATAGTTCCAGAACCATCTTCCATGAATTTTTCCTCCATGCAAACTTAAGTTATGGTGATACACTACAAATGAAATAAAGAGCAAAATAAAGATTAAAAAAAGAGTAATACGAGCAATCATTTTGTGAAAAATGTTAACTGGCTAATTTGATAAATGGTATTATGTAACTAAATTCATTATTTCAAATCTGACACGTGCAATTTCCTCCTAGGTGTTAAGTCCACCAATGTGAAAATTAGTGGATAAAGTTTTTATCACTGTATTTTTAACATAAATTGATAAATATTGACATGATAGAATTATTCTTCCTTTATAAATTTTACATTAAATCAGAAACTTTTTAAAAACCCTATTCCATTAATACTCAAAATCATAAAAACAAAAGATTTTGTATCAACTTGTTGTTTTTCTTCACAACATTTTCCTATAATTCAGCAAAGGGCATGATAACATAAGTTTCCTATTCCAAAACCCTAAGTACCAAATATTGAAGTCCAGAAAGTAGTGGATCAGATGGCCTTTACAAGTTTTAGTCATGTAAAGAATCATCATCAAAACATCGGTTAAAGTGCTTTTAAATGCCATTTAAAATGTTCAGAATCAACACAATGATTTATGCATAACTTTTAACTTTATGTGAGACAATATTCAAGGAAATTTCAAGTAGAATTTCAATTCTTTGAGAATAAAGACATTAGCTTCCTATTTAATTGTCACAGAAATATATTCTCTCTCTGAACAGGGCCATATCTGTTATACGTTTATTATTTAATAAGGATAATTTTGACCAGATTTATTTGAAAATAACATATATAAAAACAAATAATGCATCTCTCAGTGAATCAAAATCTAGCTTAACAAAAAAGAGAGAGAGAGAGAAGAAAGACAGGAGGACCAGCAAACATTTCTGAATGGTATTCAAGAGGCAGAAAAGGCAAAAAAACAAAATTATTCAAATGAGGACATTTCAGTAAAGATAAATGCTAGAATAAATATTTATCAGATCCACATATTGAAGTATTAACATAAAAAAGAAATTATGCAAATCAACAGACAAAAGGACTCTGTTACAATTAATACTTCTACGTACACACACAGAAACACACACACACACACATACCCCTCACCTTCATATGCATCTATACAGAAACCAGTTTGAAACAGCTATTAAAAAGCAATATATCCCTTTTGTATAGTTCTTTTAAAGAAACACATATACACTTATCAAAAATTTTCAATCAATGAAAATTCCTAACAATATCAAACTGTACATTTCTAAGTTGCCTAGGACTCAAACAGAGTTGAGTATGGATCCAGATTCAAGTATAATTACATTTATTTCATCTTTCAGTGACACACATCTTATCCCACATATACCAAATATATTAGAAATGTGTAAGCCTCCTATTTTAAAATCCCTTTAAGAGCAAATCAGGCAAGGAGTCTCAAAGCTCCTTTCTGTTGGTGAGTTGGCCAGTGAAAAGTCATCTCGCTTAAGAACAATGCAATGTTCTCATGAAAGCTTTAAGCTTTCTCACGTCAGAAGACGTGTAGCATTCTGTGACAAGGATTTTTTTCCTTGTGCCTGGACTTAATGCAGCAAGGACAAGCAGGCTTTTGAATCAGTGCTCCACTTCAAGCATTTGACTGCCCGTAAGATTTATACTCGACTACAGTTTGGCTCCCTTCTAATGTGATTCCTGGGCTATATGCTTCTGCAAACTGACAGAAATCACAGGAGATGTGAAAAATGCAACAATACTAAAAACAGATGTTGGTGTAAAATTCCAGGGCCATTTATTTGGTCATTCCGCTGTTGAATGTACAATTTCTATGCTGAAAACAAAGGGTTGGTTTTTTTCTCTTAAAATACCTAGAACCATGAAACATCTAGGGGAGGTAAAATAGGGAATTTATGGATGTGGACTTGAAGAGGTGGGTGGTGGGAAGTAAAGAAAAGCTGACAGAAGATTAGGCTGAAAGAGAAAAAAAAGTACTTAAATGCACACTATGTTTTTCAGTAATCATACGGTAGCCATCCTTTGCCTTTCTCTCATTTTCTTTTAATCTAGTCTGGTGATAACTCCAAAGGGATAGGCTAAAGGTCAGAAGTGTTATGATCTGGGGATAAGAAAGGAATTAAGAACAATGGGTCTTGAGCACAACTGCTTTCGTACCCAACAAAATGGTAGATTTTTTTTCTCCCTAATCTTTACCAAGAAATACCTAACCCAAACCTCCTGGCTTTGAAGAAATAAGAGCTATATTTGAGGTGACATTTAATAAAATGCCTATATTTGGAAATCAAAGACAGTAGTAATAGTTAGTTACTTTCTTAATGAGTGAGTCATGGATTTATTATTAACAACCTCAACCACCCCTTTCCTCAAAAGATTCATGTTAATATTCCAAATATGAATCTCCTATTTGTTTGTTCCTGAGAATTGATGATCCCAAAGTTATTGCTAGGGTAATAGGACCCTTTATTTTGCCATGAGCACCTGCTCTAATAGTCAAAAATAAACATCGGGGTTTGGTTACTCTGCATTCCTATTAACAAACTTACATGATTTCCTGTTGGAAACTTTCAGGGGCTGAACCAATATTTCTGGTCGTCTCAGAGCCAGTCTCCTGGGAGAAAGAAGATCAACATGCCTATCAGTTTTCAGCACAGGTCTGAGGTGAATACAACATCAAAATATTTAGTCTTAAGAAAAAACTTAAAGGTTAGAGAAAAAAAAGAATGTAATGCAACCGATTCAAATTAAGAAACAAATCGCCCACTTTCTTTACAAAAGAAAATTTTTGTAAATTATCTTCTCTCCCTCCAAAACCACCGGTCTTTTTTTTTTTTTTCCACCTTTCATATCAACATGGTTTCAAGATATTAATGTGCTATTTTCCATTTGCTTCATAACAAAAATCTAATATGACCCAGTACTGTCATATTATTTTTGGTCATTCATCATACTTAGTTAGACAAAACAGAAATCCAAACCCAAGGGATAAAAAATTCTAAGGCAAGGTTTTATAGCATATTTTATCACATCAATGCTAGAATGATATTTTGCAGAGAACAAAAGGTCAGCTGGAGAAAAGCCATTATTATGTACCAGCAGCTCACCTTTCCTGGAAATGCTTTGAGGGGATCAAGCCTGCCCTGGGGTTGGCATCACCTTCATGTTTCGCTTGCCACCAAGTTGCATCATCTTGGCTCATAATCTGAAGAATATCTCCCTTTTTGAAAGAAAGCCCAGCTTCCTTACATGGAATTGCCTTATCCTCATTAGGATTATAGTCAAAGAGGGCTTTGATAAACATCTGGAAGAAAAGTTTCATTAAAGATGAATAAAGATAAAAAATAAAGGTGAACTGGCCTGTATTCTCCTAACTCCGACTCCAAACATAGTAATTTTAAAACTGGAATATTGAAAGAGATATGTTATGACAAAGTGGATATGTGCTGGATGGAAAAACATGACTTCCCTCCCACGCACAAAAAAATGTTTTTAAGCAATAATTACCTTGCCTTCTTTTGATGGTGTCTCCTCTTTGATGCCGGGTATAATCTTAAATGTAATTGCTCCCTGAGACTGAGCCTGGTATCAGATGAAAGAAGGAGTTATAAGAAAACCAGACCCAACGAAGAATAAGGTAAAATAGGTAGAAAGTGAAATGCATCTGAAAATTTACAAGCTTGGGGTTTCTACTCTTAGATAGACTAAACGGAGGAAACTATTTTTGTTGAAATTCCTGTAATGTGAGAAAGAAAGCTCTGAAGTTTGTAGAATAAGTTAAAAAACATTAACTCCTAAATCCACTTTTACTTCCTGTGTACTTTTAAGCTGTCAGTAAATACATTCCCATCCAAGTTTCTTCGAAATAGAAACACACAAAATATGCACAACGCCTTAAATAAAATAAACACAGTATTCAATGACTAGAGTAGATAATGTCTAGAGGGTTGGGTGCAGTGGCTTGTGCCTGTAATTCCAGTGTTTTGGGAGGCAAGCTGGCAGAATCACCTCAGCCCAGGAGTTCAAGACCAGCCTGGGCAATATAGAAAAACCCCTGTCTCCACATAAAAAAATTTTAAAACTTAGCCAAGTGTGGTGATGAGGCTAAGGCCTCTTGAGCCCAGGAGTTCAAGGCTGCAGTGAGCTGTGATTGCACCACTGCACTCCAGTCTAGGTGACAGAGCAAGACGCTGTCTTTAAAATAGTAATAGTAGTAATAATAATAATAATAATAATAATGTACAAGGTTCAGGCAGTTACATCTAAGTATCAGCATCCATGTTTTGGGGGACAAAACACCTATAATGTCAGTAGTGCCATTATAAATATATGATTCAATTAGGGGCAATGCCCATCACAAAAAAAAAAAAGAACATTCATATCTATTGCATTCTGGTTAGTCAGTAAAATATCAAACGTAATAGATTAACTGCAAGATGAAAAGACTGAGTATCTATTCTAACTTCATTAAAATAAGTACCAGCACCCACAAATTTTTCTTATCTTAGATATGATCTCTCTTTAAATATACTCTCATGTCATTTTCTGTCTCTCTCTTTTTAGCATTTATTGTAGCCATATTTAATTATTCATGCAATTACTTCATAAGATATGTTACTCCTGCTCATTTGTAAGCTCCATAAAAGCACTAAATAGTTGGCACATTTGAAAGATATGAAAGGAAGAGGAGTAGGGCAAGACACATCTCTCTGAGGCTCACTATCTGTGGTGTGCTGGTAAACCAGGACTCCATTTGTTTAAAAAGAAAAAAAAAAAAAAGCTCTGATGTGTACTGTCTGTCAATTTCCATGATATAAATACTTCCACTATAGCCAATTTCAATTCGCCAGCATGCAGCTGCTGAAAGCTGAGTTTGGAAATGGTGCATCATACAGTCAGCTCTGGCGAGCCTTAAGAAGGCAGCTCTAGTGCAACACAGCAACTGAAGTAAAATGGGATTCTGACAGTTTAAATAATAGAATTTTATAAAGGGTTGATTTATTTCAAAATGGCAATATCATTGCTATTGTTTACTGTAAAAGGCACTCACAAATCTTATAAAGAATTCTCATCCTGTAATACTGAATTACATTGGTAGAGAGAAAACAAAATTTGCTCTATAATCTCCTCATTTTTCTAGTTTGTGTGTGTATGTGTGTTTTTTTTAATGGATCTATGGTCCTTTATAACAGTGTCATTTATTAAGGATGCAATTCTTATTACTATTACTACTAAGCCATATAGGTCTATCTCTCACTGTGATTGCCTCACAATAATCTAGCATAGGGATGAATGATTATTTGATCAACGCAACTTTCTTGGTAGTTTCCAAGTATTTTTGAAATATTTTGTTCATATACATTTACCAAATTATTGCTTGAGGACTAATTTCCAATAGTTGAATCTCATGACTAAAGGGTATGCACATTTAAAATTTTGATCGTTTCAGATCTCAAAAAGTTCTACTAATAACTTATCCCATCCCCAAATCATATAAATATACCTGTTTTCCTATACCCTGACCAACTCTAGGCATCATCAAGATTTCCAGTCTCAAGTAACCCGACGCTTTCCAGACATGTTTTCTTTTGTAAAGTATTTGTCCATATGCATTGTTGATTTTTCTGTAAATGTTTTTCTTATTGATTTTTATCATCTCTGTATATATTTTGAAATATTAGCCTTTTATTATATATATTGAAAATATTTTTTGTACAATCTCATTTGTCTTTGATGTTTCTTTATGGCACCTTTTTTCTATAAAGAAAGTTTTGAATTCTAGTAGACACATCTGTTATTTTTCTATTTGACTTTCATATCAAGGTTAAAAAGTCTTTTTCTACCTCATACTTATAAAACTTGTATATTATTACATTTTATTGGGCAATTTCTGTGATTTTTTTTGCATTTAAATATTCAATTTGTTGAGAATTTATTTTTACATATTGTGTAAAACAAGGATTGACCTTATTTTTTCTGAGTCATTAATCTGATACCATTTATGAAATGTTCCAGTTTTCCCAGTGATTTAAAATGCCACCTTAACCATATACTAAATTTTCATATCTATGGGGATCTGTTTTTGAGACACACTCAAACCTCTTCCAGTTGGTATAGGTTTTCAGTATGTTTTCATACATAAAAGAGAGAGTTTCCCTTCCTTTTATCTTATGAATGAACTTTAGAATTAATATTGCCAAGGCATAAAATAATTGTATTCAAGTGTCAGATTTCAAAAGACATCTAAATTAGTTTGACTAATTTGTATTGCTATGATCCACAGCATAGAATATGACTGTGTCAATGGGAGGAAGATAAAGATAAACGCATCATCAGCCACAGGGTAGATGCCATCTGCTAAGTACAGACTTGGGACAGGTACTAAACTCTTTTTTTTTTTTTTTTTTGAGACAAAGTCTTGCTGTGTTGCCCAGGCTAGAGTCGAGTGGCGCGATCTCGACCCACTGCAACCTCCATCTCCTGGGTTGAAGCGATTCTCCTGCCTCAGGCTCCCAAGTAGCTGGAACTACAGGCACCTGCCACCATGTGCAGCTAATTTTGGTTTGTGTTTTTAGTAGAGATGGGTTTCATCATGTTGGCCCGGCTGGTCTTGAGCTCCTGAACTCAGGTGATCCACCTGTCTGAGCCTCCCAAACTGCTGGGATTACAGGCATAAGCCACTGCTCCCGGCCCTAAAACTCTTTATATATACTACCTCATTTAATCCTCAAAACACTCCAGATGGATAGCTACCTCTTATTCTCATTTTGTAAATGAAAACACTGAGGCATGAATAGATTAAGGTATTTTCCAAGGACACACAGGGATTAAGTGATGGAGCAGGGGTTCGAACCCTGCACTGCTTAATACAAATCCTGTCTATGTCAAACCAAGTCTAAAAGTCTGAAATACAGTGATTCAATTTTATTTTTATTGTACCTTTAAAAGAAATTTACAGCTTACCAAAATCTGTATTATTTCCTCAGGCCTTTTATCCTCCACTGGTATCCCGTTCACTTCCCTAAGTTCATCACCAACGTGAATAAGACCTGAGAAATACGAGATTTGGTAAATTAGCAGCGTTACCCACAACAGAAACTGTAACTTGCAGTTGTTTTCATAATTAAAGCATTGTTAGGTTCCCTTAATACATTTAAGGACTGGAAAGGAGACCTTCACGTGTCTCAGGTTTCAGCCTCTATGCCTCTCCATAGCAGTGACTCAAAGACCGCAACATAGTAATGCTGGCCAAGAAATGGTAACAGCAGCTTGGTCTTTGTCTAGAAATGCACATTACTGATATACTAAGAAAATAATTTTTATTTATCTTAAAGGCTGCATGCTCTTAGCAGTACTTTTCAATTGAGAAACACAAAAACAAGATTTTATTTATTTATTTATTTTGAGACAGAGTCTCGCTCTGTCACCCAGGCTGGAGTGCAGTGGTGCGATCTCGGCTCACTGCAACCTCCGCCTCCTGGGTTCAGGCAATTCTCCTGCCTCAGCCTCCGAAGTAGCTGGGACTACAGGTGCATACCACCATGCCCGGCAATTTTTTTTTTTTTTTTTTTTTTTTTTTGTATTTTTAGTAGAGACAGGGTTTCACTGTGTTAGCCAGGATGATCTTGATCTCCCAACCTCATGTTCCACCAGCCTTGGTCTCCCAAAGTGCTGAGATTACAGGCGTGAGCCACCGTGCCCAGCCCACAAGTTTTAATATAGCTTTGGATGCTTGTGTACAAGAAGACCATAGAGTAATGTTTATCTATCATTTATTTAAATAGGCTCTCACATTGCAACACAGAAAAAAGTATCTTATTACTTGTTTTGCAGTATTAAATCCAAAGATGGTTATCCTCTTAGTTATCTATTGGAAATGCTACACACAAAACACATGATTAGTCTGTACTTGGTTAACATTCAAAGTCTCACCACTTCTATCTGCAGCTCCTCCTCTCATGATTCTGGCCACAGTGATTGCCCCAGTGTGCTCATCCTTCTTAATGGTAGCTCCCTTTTAAGACAAAAACAAAAAGCATTGTGGGTAAATGTGTGTCCTGGGTGTTAGAAAAAGGGAGGAAATAAGGACATTCATCTGAAAAAAGAGAAAACAACTAAAAAAAAAAAATGAGGCAGGAAAAACAGAAATCATGCCATTTGTCTTACAATGTCTATTCTCATGACTAGAGGATATTCTATCTACATAGCATCGAAGGGTTTCAGCCCAATTTAAGGATTTTTGAAATCTTCAACCTCTTCAAAACTGTGTAAAATAAACATATCTTCTTTTCATTATAAAAATACCTTGTATTTGAATGTTGTTTGGTTTTTACCCTTTTAAAGCAGTTCTTCATTCTTTTATCTTTATAGTACTGCATCAAGAAAGTGGAATAGTGACAATTACACTAATAGACAAAAGATTCTATATGTTAGAAAACTAAAACCCAGATCATTTGACTTCTGGTTAGTTCAGTGATCCTTCTATCATATTCAGTTATCATAGCAAAAAAAAAATTTAAAAATTTTTTAAAAACTTGGTGATAATTATAAAGAAAAAGAAAAAAGTTAAAACCCAGAAATTAGTTATATTTGTTGCCTAAGTCTAAGACAAATGATTAGAAGAAAGAGCTCTTACTCTATGGTTTTAGTGAACTAGGATTGTACCTAGTACAAATAGAAGTATTGGCAAAAGATTAGGAAATAGTCTCAAAAAGAAGTCAAAAATTCCTCACTTACGGATATTCAGAAGCAAATTAACTGCTGCTTCGTAAGAACAACAGGCACAAGTGGTTACTTTGAAAGCCTTTCCATGACTTTCCTTTTAAGAATCTGGCATTGGTTTTGCAATGCCATCCAACATTGCATAATACTGCTAAAAAGGTAAGCTTTTCGGTGATGGCAGAATTCATCCCAAAGAAGTGAAATTTTTCTCGAGTTTGTTAATAAACACATTTATATCATTAAAGAACAGATATGTAAACAAAGTAAGAGTCCATCTGTAATAAGTATCCTTCATATATAACTATCAGATACATAGCTAATAATAGTAAAAAAAAAAAAAATCAAAGAATTAAGTGGCAGGCATTTTACGGCATTTTTCATCACCTATGCATGCATTCAAGGCCAAAGACTTGAATGAGCATCTCTCCACAGTCACAAAGCTTAGACTCACCAATTACTGGTATTTTCTGCTTTTATTTCAAGTTTTAACTTGTTTCCAAAATGACTGGATATGTAATATTCCCAATACAACTAATTAGTTTGATTAAATCAACTTTCATTTTCCTTAATGACATGTCTCAAATTTTCCCACCAAATATGCCCAATGGCAGAAAAGCCTAGTAATCTAAGTTTACTTATCCATAGTTTCTGGATGAGAAATTGAATATTAAATGGCTGTAATTTGTCTAAGATCAGACAACTAGCATATGGAAAAGTCAGGACTTGTTTAAGGCAATCTGACCAGAGACACAATTATTCATCTTAATTATCATCCAATACCGCTTAACCTCTATCTTTCCATAACCTTTTGTTCATAAGTTCATTCTGTCCGTGAGTTCATTACTCCTGTAGGAGATTGTCTCTAAAAGGGGGATCACCAATTCCTTCCCTCCTTGTATGTGCATGCCATATTCCCACATTAAGTGGTAAAAATGGTTTTGAGGCTTCAAAGGCTATAAGAAGATCTGTAGCTGCCACTCGGGCCTCTTGAGACACTTGCTCTACGGGAATCTCACTGCCATGTAAGAAATCATGACCACTGCTATGCTGTGAAGAACCCCAAGCTAGCCAAGTAAAGATAACACTTAGAGAAAGAGATACTTGGCCAGCCCCAAACCTTCCAGCTCCAAGCCCAGGTAACAGTTGTGTAAATGAAGGAGCCCTCAGTTGACTCCAGCCACCACCATCTGACTGTATGTAAGAGGAACTCCAAATGAGAACCTCCCAGCTGAGCTCATCAACTCCCAAAATAATACTGTTTTGGCCACAACATACCACCATGGTTTGTAACACAGAGTTAGTTAAGTGGAACCAGTATCTCTCTGTACTATGGACTGCACTGTTTTTCAGTGTAGGGCTACAACCTGTTTGTTGTGCTTAATGCTAGTTCCTTTGACTTTTTTGTATTCAATGAAGTTAACCAATGTTTATTGAGAACTTACTCTGTGCAAGGCACCGTTCTAAGGGCTTATAATAAACTGATGAAAAAGAAAAAAATGTCTGCTTTCTCATCCCAATGGGGGAGACAAGACAATAAACAAGAGATAGAATAATTACATACATTATACAGTATGTTAGAGGGTGGTATATTAGTCTATCTTCACACTGCTGATAAAGACATGCCTGAGACTGGGCAATTTATGAAAGGAAGGTTTAATGGACTTACAGTTCCATGTAACTGGGGAGGCCTCACAATCATGGTGGAAGGCAAGGAGGAGCAAGTCACATTTTACATGGATGGCAGCAGGCAAAGAGAGAGGTTGGCAGGGAAACTTCCCGTTTTTAAAACCATCAGATCTCATGACACTCACTATCACAAGAACAGCATGGGAAAGACCTGCTCCCATGATTCAATTATCTCCCATCAGGTCCCTCCCACAACACATGGTTTTTATGGGAGCTACAAGATGAGGTTTGTGTGGGGACACAGACCCAAACTCTATCAGGTGGTATTACACCCACTGTGCGGGTGTGAGGGGATGTAGGGCAGGAAACAGAAGACCAGGATGCTAGGGCAAGTGGAGGAAAGACAATGCGAAGACACAGGACTCACTGAGAAGATGACGTCTGAGTGAACAAAGACTGGACAGAGGTGAAGAAGTTAGCCAATGGGAAGGAACAGAAGACACACCCAGTGCAAAGGTGCCAAGGGGGCTATGAATGAAATGTTCAAGGGAGAGCAAGGTAACCAGTGTGGCTGGAGCCCAGTAGAAGAGGAGCAGCAAGAGGAGACGAGGTCAAAGGCAGAAGGAAGTCAGCTTATGTGCTTTATGAGTTACTGTGAGAAGACTGGGCTTTACTCCAAATGAAAGAGGGAACATGCAAGGTTGTGAACAGCAGGAGGGGCACAATCTAGGAGGACCACTGCACCCACTGTGTTAAGAGTGAAGGATGGCAAGGGCTAAAGCAATAAAATTAATGAGAGGTTAATACAGGTTGGGGATCCCTTGTCTGAAATGCTTAGACCAGAAGTGTTTCAGATCCCACATATTTTTTTCAGATTTGGGCATATTTGCATTCTTATCAGTCGAGCATCCCAAATCCAAAAATATGAAATCCAAAAGGCTCCAATGACCACTTCCTTGGAGCTCATGTCTGCACTCAGAATGTTTCAGATTTTGGTACATTTTGGATTTCAGATCTTCAGATTTGGGATGCTCACTCTGAACAATAATTCAAGGGAAAGATGATGGTGGCATGGATCTGACTGGCAGGAGTAGAGGTGGTGAAAAGGGATCTGGATACATTATTGGTAGAGTCTAAAGGATTTCCCAGTGGATTGCCTGTGGAATGCAAAAGAAAGAGAAGGATTAAAGATAGGCTCAACGTCTTCTGGCTGAGCAGCTGGAAGGATGGAATTGCCATCAACTAGACAAGGGTGGAACAGATTTGGGGACAAAGATTGGCAGTTTATTTTTGGATATGTGAAAATTGAGAGGTCTATTAGACCACCAAATGGAGATAACGAATAGACAGATGGATATATAAATTTAAAGATTAGAAGAAAAGACTGGAAGAGAAATAATCTTGGGAGTCTCTGGCACACAGATGCTTCTGAAAGCCATGGGCAGGATAAAATCACTTCTGGAATGTGTAGATAACGCAAAGCACTCCAACGCATAAGGGTCTCATTATAGACAGAGATAAGTGCCCTGATAGAATCTTCTTGCTATCCCCTGATTCCACTTTGCTTGGAGGGTAAATTACAGACTTAAAGAACAATCTCTCGCTTTCTACATGATACTACCACTTGAATCAATCTTCACTTTGAACCCTTCATTCTTGAAGACTTCTGTTTCCATATTGCTTTCCAAACCTCTCTTACCACAATTGTTTGATGTATTCCCATTGCAATATATTTGCGTAAAAATAAGATCAAATCTCAAAAACACAGAGTACATTACATGTGACACTGTACAAAAGTCATCAATCCTATGGTATAGTCTGCAAATGCAAAATAAATTAAAATTGGATCTAATATTTTTAAAATTACGTATTTTCCTACATAATTATTTTGAATGTATTCTATGTGATTGTGTTTTAAAAATAGACCACAGAGAATTCCAAGTTAGATTGAAAAAATAAATTCTGGTTAGATTTTTCTTAATTATTAATTCTGTAAAATGGTTTATAAAAAGGGACTGCTTACTGGGTTATCATGATTTCCTTAAACAAAAAATTTTTCTCCTATAGAATTGCTTGAACCCAGGAAACAGAGGTTGCAGTGAGCCAAGATCGCATCACTGCACTCTAGTGCCTGGCAACAGAGTGAGGCTTCGTCTCAAAAAAAAAAAAAAATTATTTTATTTATTTCCTATAAACTGCCAGCATTGCAAGGTCTCCTCAAGTAGGTGACACAGTGAATTTCAGGTTGAGCCTTTGAAATAAGTGTTTTAAAGTGTGATCTACCAAAAACTTGCACGAAGAACATCTGAGACACTTTTTAAAATCAAGATTCCCAGGCACCAAAGAAAACTCTCCTGATATAAATTCCTTGGGATTCAGCCCAGAAATCTGCATTTTACGTAGGTATCTCAGGTCATTCTTCCAATACCAAAATCTGACAGCCACTGTTCTCAAAGCAGCAAGAGGACAGCCCATGCAAGAGGACAGCCCATGCAAGAGGACAGCCCATGCAAGAGGACAGCCCATGCAAGTAACACTGAGAATTTAGGATCCAAATCTACTCACCAACAAACAGAATTTCATTTTCAAGGGATCTTGCCCCTCAAGTGATCACCCTTTTTCCTATCCATTATCTAATACCCACATGACCTGTGTTATTACCTGCTCCGAGGTAACCATTCTCTCCTTGAGCAGATGCAACCTAGCTTTTATCTTTTAAATATTAAATAGAATATAAATTCTAATATTTTTAAAATATTACATAGAATATATTCTAATATTTACATCATGTTTGCATAATGCTTCAGAACTCATAAACCATTCCAAATACATTATATCTTAGCTGATGTTCAAAAACACTTGCAAAGAGGTACATTTCCTGATTTTCTGACAAGGAACCTGAGGCTGAGATGGTGAGTGGTTTGCTCTATAGGATACAGGGCAAAGTGACAGAATCCCAACTCCCACTTAGGTCATCCAATGCAAGCTGTGTTTATGTCACCACATTATGGATCCCAATAAACAAAACTGCATTTTTAGATAACACTGGTAACCTACCCCTTGGTTGCCAAATGTTGCAGCCTTTCCTCGTGAATCACTCGTCAAGCATTTCCTGACCATCCACTTGCTAGAATTTTATTTCAGCTTAGCTTCCAGCACTTTGCCTACTTCTGATTCTCATGACTAGAGCTCATTCTCCTAAAGATATCTTTGACTCTTAATCTTCTCTCTGTGTGTTTTTCATTTCGCTTTGACAGTCCTGTGACTTCTCCAACAATCTCCCCAAACTAACAAATGTCATTTGACTGATATTAAATAACAAATCTGTTGAAAGTACTTTCTATTTTTCTGGGTAGTATAATTTTTAAACTTTAAATCTGTTCACTCAATAATCTTACTTTACCTTAACAATAATTGCAAAGATAATACACTACTTATACATTTGAATGAGAAAAATTTCAAGACAAGTAATTCTATTCATTTGATTTCATATTCCAATATTTAAAATGACATTTTGAATCTTAATACTTTATTTAAGGAATGGCTAACAAATAATTTTGGAAATTTCTTCACTGCCATTAGAGGTTCTATTTTTCTATATTAAGCTTTTTTTATTTTTAAAAATAGAGCTACTTAAACATAAAATAAAATAAAATTAAATTAAACAACTTTAAGTTCCACGCCTCCTGATCAAGTAAGATCTTCAAAAGATGTTTATCAAAGAAATTAGATGTTTGCTTCACTGAGACTTCTCAAAAGTTTTGTTGAACCTGCTGTAAATTAGTTTAAATTTAAAAAGCAATTGAATTAAGTATATAAAATAACTTAAAGTTGCATTCCCATAGACAAAAGCAATTTTTTTTAAGTTGTACCATTTAATCTCACATCAGCCATGCTTGGTACATGTTACACTTTCTTTCATAAATGTCAACAGGTTGTATTTTCAAAATCATTGCCATTTAAATGTAGCCAATAAAATGTCTATTATTTTATTTGGCTTCGTTTTCATTTTTCAAAAGCATGTTCTTTAGACATCAATGTTCCATTTATTTTAAAGTTTGAGAACATAGAGGAAGCATATTTTAAAGAGAGTTATACATGGTATGCACCATCAGATTTGGCCCTGTCATGATATCTACTCATATCTGAGCACCGAAACTCACCAGCGGTTCTCTATTTTTGACCAGACGGATTATTTTTACTGAGTCTTCCTCATCATCGATATCTTCAGGCATAGGAGGCAACACAGGGTCGTAATTCTTCTGAGCCACAGTATCATGTACAGAGAGCAAAGCCTGTAATATTCACAGGTTGATTTAAATAAGTAAATGTATACATTTATATATATACTTATGTATATATGCACATAACATATACAATTTCAAACACATCTAACTATAAGGAAAATCAAAACAGTATTATGGTTCTGACATAGTAGTGGTAATAAGGCAATTACTTGAACAAGGGCCTCTTCCACAAATGGAATGGGAAACAGTGCCTGTCCAGAGAGCAGATGGCAGCTCTACTTAGCAGCCACCTCTGTCCCCAGTGTCACTGATATATGTAAATAATCATCATATAATCTCCTCTAAGATTATATGTACATTCTCTGGTTTATCCTTAAAAAGGTAGCAATTTGTAGTAAGAGTGCGGGGGATGTTACTTTTGGAGGAAGGGAGAACATGCGGGCTAAAGATGCATTGTCAATGACAGTCTGAGAATATCCTGTATTTTGTTCTTTCCTACTATTTTTTCTGCTACTAGCAGAAAACACAATGATGATCAATATGATAGTTTTTTTTTTTCTTCACTTTAACTGTTTGTGCAACTGGTGACTACTATGTATATAAAAGAATAAAAGTAATTCTATACCAAAGATGAAAAGAACACCAGAACTTTGACATGCTACAATTCACTATTTTAGATGAGTGGGTTTTGGACTTTCAACGAACTTGACCCCTAATAAGCAACACCACTATTCATAAATTACTCAAGCCATCCTTGAATCCTCTCCTCTTACTGACATTCTCAACATCCAATATATATTCTATTTTTTAAAAACATTTTTTTAGACATAAGGTCTTGCTCTGGTATGCAGCCTGGAGTTCAGTGGTGGGATCACAGCTCACTACAACCTCAACGTAAGCGATCCTAATTCCCCAGCCTCCTGAGTAGCCGGGATTACAAATGCATGCCCCAATGCCCAGCTAATTTTTAATTTTTTTTTTTTTTTTAACTTTAGACAGAGTCTCACCCTGTCGCCCAGGCTGTAGTGCAGTGGTGCAATCTCGGCTTACTGCAACCTCCACCTCCCAGGTTCAAGCAATTCTCTGCCTCAGCCTCCCGAGTAGCTGGGATTACAGGTGCCTACCACCATGCCTGGCCAATTTTTTTGTATTTTTAGTAGAGACGGAGTTTCATCATTTTGCCCAGGCTGGCCTTGAACTCCTGACTTCTTGATTCACTCGCCTCAGACTCCCGAAGTGCTGAGATTACAGGCAGGAGCCACTGCACCTGGTGCATATCCTATTAAATCTACTTCCAAAATACACCTAAAGGTTTTTTCTCCACTTTAGATCAGAGATTGGTAAACTACAAGATCTGTTTTGTAAATCAAGTTTTATTGGAACACAGCCCATGCTCATTCATTTATCCATTGTCTATGGCTGCTGTCATGCTACAATGGCAAAGTTTAGCAGGTAGAACACATACTTTTTACATAAAAAGCTGGCAGGTCCCTGGTCTAGATCATGGATGCCATCATTTTTGCCTGGAGCACTCCAGTAGTCTTCAAATGGCTCAGCAGCATTCAACTCTGGCCCATTTTCAAGTCCACAATTCACAGCGTAGCCAGAGTGATTATTTTTAAAACTTAAATCACATAACTACCCCTTAATAACCCTTCTAAAGTAGCCCATCGATCTTGGGATGACCAAACTCTCCAGGATGTCCTAAAAGTCCTGCATGCCTCTCCAACCTTATCTTACACTGCCCTCCCTCCTCACGCAACTTGAATAACTCTTTCTTATAGAGGTCTGGCCAAAACATTACAGAAAAGCAGATATCCTCATGACTCAATCCCATAGCACCTTGTTCTTTGCCTTCATACATGTCCATAATTTATAATCATATGTGCGGTTTTTGTTTATATGGTTAATATTTTCTGTCTACTGAAACAGAAACTCTAAAATGGCAAATAAATAGTGTCTGTTTTTAATCAAACTTTTGAATTGACTATAACATATATACAAAAAGTACAAATCATAAGTGCATAGTATAAAATTTCAAAAATGAATATGCCCAAATACCCCCAAAACAAGAAATACAACATTAACCAAACATCAGTGGCCCCCACTTATGCTCCTTCCTAGTCATCATGCCCTCTATACCCCCCAAAGTGTCAATCTTTCCCTTTATTTGAAAAGCATATAATTAGAATATAAGTGTGTATTCATTTTTCCCTAATATTAAGCTAGTGAAATTCATCCATGGTAGAAGGAATTCATTTGTCATTGTTATATAGTATTCCAACATATAAATATCTTACAGTTTCTTTACCCATTATGCCTTTGAGGGGCATCTGGGTTGTTTTCAGTTCCTGGCTAGTATAAATAATGCTGCCATAAATGTTTCATATCTTTTGATGCATATATATATATATATATATATATATATATATGATGTTATTTAAGTATATTTAAGAGTACAATGCCTGGGTCATGGGTGTATAGTAAGTACATTCAACATTAGTAGTGTTTTTCAATTATACTTCTACTAACAATGTGAGTTCTTCTAGCTTTCTAACATGATCCCAAACATTTTACATTGTTAGTCTAAATTTGGCCATTCCAAGTGTATAGTGGTATTTCCTGCAGTTGAAATGTTCATTTTTCTTAAAATGAATGAGACTGAAACCCATTTGTGTTTATTGGGCATATGTGTCTCTTTGTGAAATGCCCCCTCAAGATATTTGCATGTTTTTCTATTGCATCTTTTTCTTATTAATTTGTAAGAACTACTGATAATATACTGGACCCCAGTCTTTATCAGTTATATGTGCTAAAAATACATTCTCCCTTTTGGTAGCTTGCCCTTTCACTCTCCTTCTTGGTGATTTTTGCTCAATAAAGGACTCTAATTTTAATGAGCTCAATTTATGTTTTTTTCCTTCATGGTTCATGCTTTTTGCATACAACAAGAGTTTTAAAGGGGAAAAAATAAACAATATCAAGATGATAAAATACCCGCGAAGATAATGGCTGCAAATTTTTGAGAACTGATGAGAGAAAGACTCTACAGGTTCAGGAAGCCCAATATATCCTTTAGGAACAAGGAAAGACAAAAAGAAACCTATGCTTAATACATCACAGCAGAACTGCAAAATGGCAAAGGCAAAGAGAAGATCTTAAAAGTACTCAGAGCAAAAAAGACAGGTCATCAGAAAGGAAAGAAGAAAACTGATTGACAGCTGATTAACAGCACCAGTAGACATTAGAAGACAATTCAAATACTTTCAAAGTGCTTAGAAAAAAATAATAGCCAGTCCAGAATTGTGTATCCAGCAAAAGTACCTTTCGAAAATAAGGATGAGGACTAAGATGAGGTTAACAGGGATCTGCCTGAAAAACCTAAAAACTAAAAATACATAAAAATAAAGAATAAGAAACAATACTTTTCAAAGATGCTGGACATCAAGCAACAAAGGACAGAGATCACTGAGAGACAGGAAACAATGTGAGCCTATGACTGCCCCAGCATTATAGCCTAGAGTTTCCAGGCTGTGATGGCAAAAAAGAAATACAGGCAAAACTCAGTGGTCTCGAGTTGAGAAAACAGAGCTGAGAATCCAGAGAGGTCAACTGACTAAAGTTCTCAGTGAAGACAAAGAAGAGGAAAGGGTGGCAGATACAGAATTCGGGAGATCTGTAGGAGGTCTCCCTTGAGTCCTGAGCAAAGTCCTTAGCCATGGCATTCATATAAGAAAACTACCAGAAAGGATTAGAGCAGTGGCTCTTAACTGAGGCAACTGTACTCCCTTGGAGCCATTGGCAATATCTGGAGACATTTTTTGATCGTCACAATTTAAAGGATGTTACCGCCACCTACTGTACTGAGGCCAGGGATGCTCCCAAACATTTGATCGTATACAGGACAGTCCCCTAAACTCCAGAAGCAATTATCCAGCCCGTAAATGTCAATAGTTCTAAGATTGAGAAACTCTGCATTACAAAGAATAATCCCTGAAGTTTGCTTAGGGCAGGAATAGTTCTTGTTCTCATCAGTTAGCAGGAAAACCTCATAATTCATAGGCACTGAGAAGAGTTATGGGATGGGTATTATCTCAATAGTGGAAAAAATAAGCCCAAGATTTAATGCTGCTATGATCTCACCTGAAAAAAAGTTAAAAATGAGCCTCTGAAAGATCAAAATGTTTCCAAGTAATTTAACTGCATAACAAAATAAAACTCAAGAATACTATCTATAGCAGGGGTCTTCAACCCCAGGCCACAGACCAGTACCCGTTATGACCTGTTAGGAACCGGGCCGCACAGTAGGGGGTGAGTAGTGGAGAATGAGCAAAGCTTCATCTATATTTATAGCTGTTCCCCATTGCTTGCATTACCACCTGAGCACTGCCTCTTGTCAGATGAGCAGCAGCATTGGATTCTCAAAGGAGCGTGAACCCTGTTGTGAACTGAGTATGCAAGGATCTAGGTTACATGCTCCTTATGAGAATCTAATGCTTGATGATCTGTCACTGTCTCCCATCACCGCTACATGGGATCATCTAGTTGCAGGAAAACAAGCTCCAGGTTCCCACTGATCCTAAATTATGGCAATTATGTACTAATAATAGAAATAAAGTACACAATAAATGTCATGCACTTTAATCACACTGAAATCACTCCCCAAACCCCCATCTGTGGAAAAACTTGTCTTCCGTGAAGCCCATCACTGGTGCCAAAATGGTTGGAGGTTGATCTACAGAAACATAAAATACCCAGCATCCAACAAGATAAAACTCACAGTAACTGGTAGTCAATCAAGATAAAACTCACAATGACTCAAAATTACTAGGTATGCAAAGAAAGCAGAAAATACTGCTCATAATGAAGAAAAAAATGAAACAATGAAACCAAATACTGAAATTACACAGATGATAAAACTGGATAAAACCAAACGCTAAAATTACATAGATAGCAGACAAGAAAATTAAAAGTTATTATTTAACTATATTTCAAATGCTCAAAAAAGTTAAAGGAAAGACAGAACATGAGATATAGAATATTAAAAA